ATTAAAAAATTAAAAATTATCTAAATAAATAAATAATTTGTTTAAAAAGTAACTAAAAAACCTTCAAAAAAATCTAAAAATTATTAAAAAGTTTATATAAAAGGTTTTTGGTTCAGATTTTTTTATTACACTCACTCTACTTATAAATTTTCTAATTTTTAGATTTAGTAATCAAAACTCAAACTATTTAAAATTAATTTGATTTAATTTTTAATCAAATAAATTTAAAACCTGATCAAATCTTATTCATCAGTTACAATTTTGTAAATTTTCAAATTTTTTTTGAGTTGTGGATTTTTTGACCCACTCCTACTAGTCCTTATCTATGACAAAAGTCGAGCAAATTCAGCCTTAACCATTTGGTCTCGATTTGTATAGGTTAGGTCATAGGTCAAGTGAAAGACGGAATATAGAAGAGGCCAAGGCCCCCAAAAATTTCAAATTCTACTTATGACCTTAGTTTCTCTTCTTTTCTTTTTTTTTTTTTCTTTTCAATACTAGATCATTAGAGGATTTATTTTTTTTATAAGTTAAACCCTTGAAAATTTTTTTGGCCCTTCTAATGTCTCGCTTAAGCTCTGTCCCTGTTTAGATAAATCAATCCATTAACTTGAAAAGAAAAAATTTATGTCAATGAAAAACCTAACACTTCAAAAGTTTGAATGAAAACGTTAATGATAGAAGAAAATGCTAATGGAGTGCAAATGCAATAGAGTAAAGCTTAGGGACCTTGTCAAAGCATATCTTAAAGGTTAGGGACAATTAGTATTTAGATTCTTTTAAATATGGACGAAAAAGGTTAAAATCAGTACCATTATTTTCTAAAAAAAAAAAAAAAGATCAGTACCATTCTTTCCTTTGCAAAAAATAAAATTAAACTAAAAATCAGTACCATTCTGATGTTGTATGACGAAGCACATCTGCGTTAGGCTGAGGTGGACCGTGGACTCATCTCAACTTTTTACCAGATATTTTTGTTTTAGGTCCATTTCCAAAAGACTGAACAAATAAAATAACACTACAGTACTATTACTACTCATCTCCATATTTTTATTTTGCCATCTATTTAAATAGTGAAATTCAAAGTTTCTTTATAAATTCTTAATTTGAGACATATTATATAAAAATAAAATAATTTAAAAAAGAGAAAAATTAAAATATTTTGATATTTTTAATATCAAAATATTTAATTATAATCATTAAATGTATAAAATATAATGTAACTTTTAATTTTATTAAATTTATAATATAATTATTATTAAATAATTTTAAAATTTTAATAATAAAATAATCAAAATTACATAGACATCCTTATTTTTCTTTTTCCTACTCCTATATATCCGTATACTCTGTAAAGGGCAAAAAATGAAAAAAAAAAAAA